AGCCAAATTGTTTGGTTCAAAGTGTCCCAATTGGGAAGATTTTCAAATTTTCCATGCCTGTGGCATGCTGAATTTCTTAATCGGGTAATAATTAAGAAATTCAGCCTGCGGCCGAATTGAACATTTCGATGAAATAGGTCAGTATTGTCTGTACCTGCACAGAGGGCAGTTTGAAATATCCTTTTGAGGCAATTAAGTGCTTAAGCTCTGTGGCTTATTTACAGGCTCAAGGCTTACCTAAAACTTAATCAATTTTAGAGCCCAAATTAAAGGCTTGTGAACCTGCAGAATGAATATTAAGCAATGTTCTTAAGCTAAAAATCATAATATGTTTGCAACATTGATTATTATTATTTTATTTTGTTTAATTTTATTTTTAATTTTATTTCAATGCTAGTTTTTATATTCGGACTTGGCAAACTTAAGCATAGATTATGTAATATTACTTTTAATTTTTATACTAATCACATCGGGGTTTTGTGCAAAAACAGCGACCCAGAGCTGGACTTTTTTGTGAGAATTCAGGTGCCAAAAATGTCCACCCAATTTCCAACAAATCAGCGTCGCAGATCCGATGTCCGAATTACCAAATAAGGTAATCTTGGCGTCACGTGTACCACGATCAAGGCCTTCGATTCATCAGAAATTTAGGGCACTGATTTGGGCCCCGATTTCTGCTATATAAGTCCAGCTTCGGGTGGCCATTTTGGCACGAAACCTCGATGTGAATACTCAGTCTTCCAAATGGGCAAGTTATCCATAATTACCAGTTACAATATATTTTACCTTAAGTTTACCATAGATTTACCATTTCTTATCCTTGAAAACCTGAGGTGACCCGGATTTACCTTCCCAGGATGTCAAGGTAAGGTACAGTGGAGAAGTGGGTTCTGCTTGATGAATGATGTAAGCTGCAAGCACTGCGAGGAATTGGAACAAAACTGGAGGATTTTTTTAGATTTTAATTAAGGTAATAATAACCCCAAAAAGGGACACCTTTATTTGTTGGAAAAAATGGATTGAAAAAGACACAATAAGTAGAATAGCAATCTTATCAGAAAAAAAGGAATCAACATTGTCATACAAAAAAGCCTCTTATGCCCGGATATCTTCCATTTTCCCACATATACTCTTTTTCCACTCCAATCTGAGAAGCATTTTTCTGGTTAGATTTCCTTTCTATCTAGTTGATATTTTTTAAACCTTTTTTTTAATCAATAAAGATCACCATTTTTTTTAACTATTATTACCTTCATTAAAATTCTAAAAAATCCTCCAGGTTTCTTCTGAGTTGTTGGGGTGAAGCTCCTGGTGAATCATAGCCATGTGTCTCAAGGTCATGCGTGCGATCAACAAACAGCAGGTCACAGTCACGATCACAGTCACCGTTTCCACTTTCATCCTTGTCAGTGACGGACAGGTTTCGCACTTGTACAGAAGCACTGGCTTCTCGAGCTTTTCTCAGCTATGGTGGGCTATTACTGCGCCCGACATCGGACGCGGGCGGGCTGTATTCGGAATTTGCTGCCTCCCAACTTCTGACCTTGTCAATGACGGCCATAGCCTATTACGGTGCAACAGTCGTCTTCTCCGCCGCTGGAAAGCTCGGCCCGGTTTCCGGCACCATGGCGCAGACATCATGACACGCTTGCGAGCTCGGACGCAAATCCTATGACAGAGCAGGCGATCAAAGCGAGTCCGTCGTCCAGAGAGTATGCCGAGGGTTCAAGGTTGAGCCTCCGTGTGCGTTCGTGCAGTTTCGCAGGCCGTTGGGTTGACAGCGTTGTCAGGAATTTGCTGTTTATTCGCCTGGGGGCCCGCAGCTGTCGGACGCGTTTGGATTCAGACCCTGCTGGCATCTTGATGCTCCACGCATTGTTTACATTGCCGGACGTGGCGACGAAACTTGCGCGTTTTGATTCGGATTATGCAGCGACGGTGACAGTCTGATAGTGATACGGCATCTCGCCCATCACCGGTCCGGTAATCCGGGTGCGCTGGTGCCGGAGGCCCTTCCTCCGCGAATGTTTGTGTTGCCGGCCGGCGACGGACACACGAGCAATACCAGCGGGTCTTCCCGCCGGCGTCCAGAGCGTCTGCTGCGCACGCTCGACCGTCAAGAAGCTTTGGGTTTTCAAGTTTGCCAGTGCGCCACGGCTAAGTATATTCATGATTCCAACCGGATGCTGCTACTTGTCGCATCCGGGCGGGCTCTCCTTGTCGAGCTGCGATCGTTCGCTCGTTACAGTCAGCCTCGCGATCTGCCGCTGGTGGCCATGGCGAGGCGGCGCTATTCCGCGATAAGTAAGCTACGCCGAGTCTGCTCTATAACCGTTGTTTACTCAGCGATGAGCAGGCCCTATTCGGCATCTGTGCACGCGTCCTTGATATCATGCGGCACTGGCACACGACACCACGAACGAAATCCGCGGCCCTCCTGCAGACAGCTGGTTCTTCCGCGCTTCGCGGAGGCGCGTTCAAGTTGGCCTTGATTCTGATATGTCAGCAAACCGTCGGTCGACGCGAGCGGGCCGCGCATTTATCACCAAGGTGAGTAATCAGATATCGGTGAATGAGTGAGCAAGTGTATTAATGTTCGCCAACGCGCAGAATTCCAGGCTACGTCGGCCGTTGTTGTTTTTCAGGCAACGGTCGGCACTGCGGCTCATCGATCACCGTGTTTATTACCAAGGTGAGTAATGCTGACTATATTAAATTCTATGAATCATCGAACGTGCAGAATCTTAGTGCGTTCTTTTTCCAAGGAACGGTGGTCAATAAGGCTCATCGATACTACGCGGACTCGGGCGTGCCGCAGATTAGAGCCCGATCTCAAGCTTGTCGTCGGAACGCAGGCGGGGATGTCCCACGCGTCTGGGAATGTGCAGAGTCCGCAAAACCCGTCCGTATCCCGCGCCTTGGTAGGGGAACGCGATCACGTGGACGCAGAAGCCCAATTAAGAGGCCGCCCCGGTGCGAAGGGCCGCTCCACCGCCGATCCTGCTGGCGCGTGCTCCGCGGGGACGATTTAGTATCAGCGATAGGGTCGATCAGGTTGAAAGCCGACCAGCCTGGAGAGCAGACAGGCGATCCGGCGTTCAAGGAGCACGAGACGCTAGAGCGGGGTGGGGAATACTATATGGGTGGCGGAAGTTACCGAGGCGTGCCCATGAAGCACGAGTCGAAGTGATGCTAAAAAACCGAGGTAATTTTGTGCAACCATTTGCTGCATGCAGCGTGCTGCTAGCGCTGACATAGGGTTTCAAGTGCTCCGTTGTGGAGCGGGGAATGTGCCGTGAGTGGACACCCATCGGTGATTTACGGCGGTTGGGAATTGATCATTGGCAGCTTGCCGATGGTGCGCCGAGAGCGGCCCGCAGCCGGTGTCGATCAAGGACGGAGGACGGCAGTCGCCGATCCGGTAGGGTGCACGTGTCAGTCGTGATTAATTGTCCATTTTCAATTAAGCTGCCACAGAATATCGGCGCCACGCCAGCCATGACGCGTACGTGGGCGTTGCGTCCCCGTACTTGGTTTTCCGAGTCGCCAAGGGCCACGGCGCTTATTTTCATCCGATGGGACAGGAAATCACCGTTACTGCTGATAGAGGAGAATCTGCTGAAGAGGCTGCAGCCCGAGTCGTCCGAATGCTAGGACACTAGTGAGTGTGCCTGTGGGAGATGGAATTATCATGAATGCATCATGCTTGGCTACGTGTTTCATTTGTGCGCTGCTTTCTTCATCGAAACTGCTGTTGTCATTCCCCCGCCCCGTTCGTCTTCCGTGCGCCGACGAGGTGAGTCCGATCCGCGCGCCTCCCCACCTCCGCGATCGCTCTGATGGGGGGGTTACTTCATCAGAGTGGCACGTGGATCGATGCCGATCGCTGTGCCCGCATCCGGAACCGCTGTATGGGAAATTGTTTGGACAGCATCTGATCCCGTGGACGTTGATTAATTGCCTGGACATAGCAGCTACGCGAGCGGTACCGAGGCCAACGCGCAACTCGTTGCTCGAAAATCGACTCTCCAGGTGCCAGTAGCGAATGGTAAGTAATGTGTTGTCTTGACTCTCAGCGACCGGCATACGGATATCTGCGCCGCGGGCGTTCCGGCGTCACGACCCGCATCGACCGTGATCCACGGTCGCATCGGCCCTCCGCGACAAGTGCGGAGGCTGAGTCAGCCTGTCACTGAAGTGGCGCTGCTGTCATCTGTTCGGGATCAGAGAACGAAAAGATTTGCGGTGGGCAGTGGAGCCGGGTACGCGTGCGGATGCAGTGGCCATATGCATGGACCGCAGCTACGCGGGTAGGGGGGAATATGTGGGTACTATAGCCATATGAGGCAAAGATACGCGTGCGGTAAAAGCGACGAAAAAGCGCTGCAAATGCGAGCGGAATCTGCCAAAGGGTGGGTTCAATCGGCGACTAGCGCCCGCCGTTGTCTTGGTGTTGCCACTCGACTCTACCAACGATTCGCGGGTAATCGCGTCCGTGCTTCACGGGCCAATGCCATTCTCCCTCCTCGGCTGGATAGGTGGGTCAGCGTTGAGCCCCCAGCTCTGCTCCGTCTGCGTGTTCGAATGCGGGAATCAAGCGGCGTTCAAATATAGACGACCCCATCCTCCTTTGTGACTCGTCGAGCCTATCCGGGGATCCTACCTTTTCACGCCCTCGGCAAAGCGACAAATTGCCGTGCCGTCACCGATCGTCGACGACGTGCGTGATCTGATGGACGGCACCGCTTCTCTTCCTTTTCCCTTTTCCACCATGTTCTTTCCCAGCGCGCCAAATGGGTGTGTCGGGCACGCTCAGGCACTTGCGTCGCAACCAGACGCCCGGGCTGCTTCTGCGTGACCGTGACGAGTGACCGCGGCGTCTCAACGCAATCTTGCGAATCGCGATACTTGGATCTCGGATAACGAGTGGGCGATGGGAGAGTGGTATAATAGGCACGCGACGCGATGGGATTGGCGTTTTTCACTCCTCCCCTACCGCTATGTCCTCCTCCGCTGCCATGTCTACGCAAGAGACGACGCCGAAGCCAGCGAAATTCAAGACTCCTACTTGTGTGTTATGTCGCAAACGCAAGCTCGTCCGTCCCCCCTTCCATCTCTCCTGTCTTCTGCTGCTGACTTGATTCTATAGCGCTGCGACGGCAACTCCCCTTGCTCACCATGCACTCGAACAAGAACTCCAGTAGTTTGTACCTACGTCCCCAAAACGGTCGGCCAATTGCGTTCGGAGTTGCCAAAGGGCGGGGCATGTGTGCGTCCTCCCTCTCCATTTCCTTCCGTTTACTGACATGCGATGGGACAGATAACGTGTCGACAGCGCAAACGCGTGCGTCTTTTCTCGTCTTTGTAAGGCAAATGCTGACTGAGATGCTTAGAGATGCGACGGCCACTTTCCCTGTAGGACATGTGTTCAGGCAGGCCGGCCTGACGAATGCGCGTATCGCGAGAAGCCGCGCTCATCATCATCTTCGCCGTCCTCCTCAACAGGCACAAAGAGCAAGCCGAGAAAACAAAGACAGTCAGTTGTCGATGCTGGCAGCCCCGCTTCAAGCGGTAGCAGTTCCGCCTCAGATTCAAGGCCGACGACGCCCCAGGACTATCAGGAAGAGCAGGAGCATTGGCCCAAGCTGCATGTCGACCACTCGGGATTCGAATCGGAGTTTGATACCAGTATGAATGTGTTCGCTGGGAGCTGGGACATGTCGCAGTGCGACTTTTCGGCCACGTCGAGCGCGGCGTACTCCCCAGGGTATGACTACGAGTACAACGAGTCGTAGGTGTTTCTTCTGTCCCCTTCCGGTCCGATGCTAACTAAGTGTAGAAGGGTCAATTTAGTTTCCCAGCATCTTCACCTTTCGCCGTCCAAGCTGTCCGCCCTGGCACAAGGCGACCTGTCTGGGCGGGCCATCCACCCCACATTGGTCCACGCAATCGATCTCCTGTCCTGCCTCTCTTCCCCTCCTCCCCAGCCCTTCCCCGAGTACGAGTTCGAGCCGAGCGCCGCTGCCTGGGGCCTCGATTCACGAGAAACAGAGCTCCTTTCGCTCGTGCGCGCCGCCCTGGCGCCGCTGTCCCTTGAGGCGGCGCCAGACGCGGTCACGAGTGTCCAGCTGCACGTGCTCTTGCATGCCTACTACTCGCTGAAACGGGATTTTGGTAGCGCCTTAGGCTGCATTAGCGGAGCTGGGTCGGTTTTGGTTGGCCAAGCGGGGACGATTGCGCTGAGAGGGGGCTTTTGCTCTATGATGGGGAACATTAACTTGGACTGCGGCAGTGATCAGGATGGGGAGGCGGAAGAGGTCCGGGCTGCGCTCGCCCAGGTGGTCTTCCTCGATATCCAAGCGCAGCTGGTGCATGGCGCGCCGTCTAGTCTCGACGGGGAGGTGTATGAACGGTTTCGCGGGGTGATGGTGAGCCTTTTTGGGTTATTATCCCTACATAGGCTGACAGGGGGCAGACGCTACACAACGACCTCAACCCGCTCTCTCTCCGCGGCAAGGCGTTCCTCGCGCTGTACGACGCGAAGCAACTCGTCTCCGCCTGGAACACGCATTTCTCGGCCGGCGGGACGGTGCCCACTGCCTGGGCAAGACGTTACCGGGCGCTCATCGTTGATCTCGAGGGCCAAGTTGCGGCCATGCAGGACGGCAACCAGTCGACGATGGAGGCGCTCATGGGGGCGCATGCCGCGCTCAGTGAACTGTTTTCTGTGTTTCCAGGGGACGAAATCGCACGGAGGAGGGCAGCAGACGCGGCAAGGATGGTTGTTAAGCTGATCGACGGACCAAGAGGCTGGGAGTGGAGTGCGGTGGCTGGGGTGGTGTGGGCTGGCGCGGCGCGGTTGCTGCAGCTGTGATTATGCGAGTTCTTTGATTGGGGATAGCGGGGACGGGACGGGGCTCAACGCCCGGCGGGGGAATAGAAGACACTGAGTTCGGCCTGTCCACCACAACGGAACATCGCGAGCTTCAACTCCATACACACACACGGAGCCTCTCGACCGTTAACGGAAGCTGCGCGGCCGACGAGAGGACGGATAACGAGAGCCTGGGGCCTTCTCACTGTTCAACACTAGCACCAAACACACGCGCCGGAAGGAAGGAAGGAAGGAAAAATATAAACATCACAATGTACTAATTCCCTTGTTCGTTCTAAAAACGTCTACCATACTCGCCGCCTGCTATTCTGTTGTTCTACTAAAAGCTGTTTTTGGTTCTGCTTAATGTGTATTACTATGCCACTTTCGAATTCATTTGGCTCTTCAGTGTCGATTCGATGTGGGCCTTTGTGTTATTTTTGACGTCTATTGTTTCTGGAGTCGGCACAACACATCGGACGTGGGACCCTCCGTTCGGATTTAGTAACTTAATTGAATTCCAAGCGATCGGCGTAGGGTACTAGTAACGTGGGACACGTTACTAAGGGGAAACGCGACGCTTGACCTGATCTGCTGTCCTGCTAAGTAACAATCTACGAACACCTGCCAGTGCAGGTTGCAGCCCTTTCTGTCTGATGCGCCTCGTGAGTGAGCGTCTTGTCGGCAGCACAAGACTTGGGCATTAATACAGCGATTAAGCAGCGGTATTGATGCACATGCACATGCGCTCGGAGCCGGAGTGCCATGATGCTGCGTCGGATAATTAGACGCCCGCACAAACAAGCGCCCGGGCGAAAATAGGCGCCGACCGGCGCAGGAAACGCCGGAAAATGTCAGCATACTGAATACAGTATCGGCTTTGATGCCAGTGGAAGTGGGACAACAACGCATCATAATCCATGCCTGCATGGATCCAAGTATCCCGGTATAGCCAACATGCCGCCGTGGCCCTCATTATGCAAGGGTCGTGTGCTAGTGCAAATCAGAACTAAGAAGATATCCTGGAAGTCAGCGCGTCCCGGTCGCCCGAGATGTCCGTAACCGATGCACATGTCCGAGATTGCCGAGGACTCACAGCAAACCAAAAATTCTCCTGATAAAAAGGGAGCTTCTACTAACAGTTAGCTCACATAATAAACCATTTTTATTACAGGAGTTCCTGATTGTAATAACAGTTCTTTTTTCTCATTTTTACACCAGCATGATGATGCCATGATCCAAATAAGCAAAGTCCCTACACCACCAATCAAGGGGTTCAAGATTCTTATCAGGCACATGGGGGTAGGGGGGGGGCTCCCCAGGGGGGTAATAAAAACTTTTTGTATATAAAAGATTTGAGCCTTATATGGGTGTAAAGATACTGAAAATATAGTGTATACACTTGAATTTCTATAGTTCACAACCCCCATACTGATAACTATATACTTTCAGGCCCATGAGCTTAGATAGCGCACTCTGTCCCAGCCCATCATCAGGTAATTCATGGGAGGTGAACATATTAAAGAGTTGATATGGCCTGCCATGTATGTTTGAAGGTTACAGGTACATACATACATACATACATACACATACACATACATAAATCTTTTTAAAAAAACAAGCTTTGCAAAGATTAAATTTTTATGCCAATTTTTTATCACATCAGTGGTCACATAATGCGAATCCTGGAAACATATTACCCTATATGGCAGGAGGGGGGTCCCCAGAGGGTTGGAAAAAAACTTTCCGACCCTATATCCGTGATTCGGATATTGAACTGCCTGTGTTTGGCCCGGACCCACAAGCATGGGTGCGGGTATCTGTCTTTTCAGATGCGGGCCCACTGTAAGGGCAACCCTGGAGACTCCGACGAAAGCCTAGCAGGGGAGGATCCAAAGCGTGAATAGAAGCTACGGAAATACACGGAGGGACCGACCTAGCAGGGGAGGATCCAAAGAGAAGAAACTCTAAGGGTCCGCCTGCTAGGGCGCCAACTATATACTGGTCGTCCGTAACTGCCGACGTAGAGCGCAGAAGGCCTGAGCGGCGTCGCAAGCTCTGTCCCAAGGTGATCGTTGGGAGGGTCTTGACGGATCGGTGATTGTGCGGGCGAAGGAGGCCGTGGACGATGGTCGGGGTGGGTCGGAGCGTCCGAGGGGGCGCCGGTCGGATGCGCCTCGGATGCGTTCGGAGGGTCCGAAGGAGGCCGAAGCAGGGGTTCCCCTGACATCACCCCCCCCTTTGAATGCGGCGTCCCGACGCATAATACGGAAGGGCAAGGAGTCGAAAGTCGCTGAGGCGATGTGCCGTGGTTTACCCGGGTACCTCCGATAGAAGTCCGCAATCTTGTCTGGCGCAAAGACACGGTCGAACCGAACCCACGAGTCGTGTGAAGCATCGTAGCCTTTCCACCTGACGAAATAGTTAAGACGCTTATACCTTATCCTGGCATCCAAGATTTCCTCGACTTCCCATTCGGGGACTCCGTCCTCTAGCTCGGGGGGCGGTTTGTCGTAGCCGGGTCGTCCATTGAAGGGGTCGTCCTGAGCGGGCTCGAGCTTAACAACTGGGAAGACGGGGTGGAGCTTGGAGTAACGCGGGGGGAGGTCGAGCTTGTAGGCACCTTTGCTAACTTCTGCGAGCACCTTGAACGGTCCGAGGCGCTTGTGGGAGAACTTCTCGGAGGGCCGAGTCGTTCTAATGTCAGAAGCGTCCAACCAAACCTTATCACCAACTTGAATATTCGGAGCGTCCGAACGTTTTCCGATCGTAGTACCGTTTATACTTGTCTTTGGCTTTAACGAGCGGCCTTTGCCTCGAGAGACGCCGTTAGCTATCCGGTCGCAAACTCGTTCACCGACTCCAACTCTGAGCGGGCGCCTGGCTCGAAACCCATTCGGGGAGCCGACCAGTGTCCGTCATAAAGGGTACCTGTTGAGTGGAGGAGTGAACGTGGTTGTTATAGGCGAACTCAGCGGCAGGGATAAGCTCGTCCCAGTCGTCTTGTTGGTAGTTGGTGAAGATCCGGATGTACTGCTCGAGCTCTTGGTTAACGTTTCGGTTTGTCCGTCGGTTTGCGGGTGGTAAGCTGTAGAGGTAGCCGGTTTGACGCCAATTAAGCGCCAGAGTTCGCGCGTGAAGTCAGCGATGAACTGCGAACCGCGGTCCGAAATGTACTTCTTGGGGGTTCCGTGGTGCCTCCAGACATTCCGATAGTACAACCGGGCGGCTCCGACCGCGTCTATTGTCATATGGCACTCAGTGAACACCCGTAGCTGTAAGAATTAGCCTCCTGGCTTAGGTGCACCTAGGAAATGCATTGCCTAGGATAGTAAATGCACCTAGCCTAGGTGTACCCAGTGATCTAGGCTAGAATCACTTGAGGGTCTCTGGATCAATATAGCATCAATGATGGAATAAACTGTTATCTAATACATAGCATATTAATAATAATGCATATATAATACTTTAAACTCCTTTTCTTCAGGCCGATGACCCGGTATATAGTTGGGAAGGCCTGTATCAATAATAATCCTAATTTGGACACAAATGATGGATCATGATATAGCCATCAAAAGTACTGATGGCAATCAAAAATGGTTCCACATTAAAAACATTATATAGATAGGGGCACTGGCTTAGGTAACAGAATACCAGATAAAGAATAATAATATATATTTCTATAAGAATAATACTTTGGCCCAGGGAGAAGTGCTAGCCTAAAGTTCTAGGTGTACACAGCCCCCTGGCTGTACCTAGTAGCCTAGGCAATGTATTTCCTAAGTACACCTACTGGTTTTAGGCTAAATACTACCACTACGGCTCCAGTGAAGTGAGCGCGTTTGCCAAGAGCGTCGATGACTACCATGACCGCGTCGTACCCGTGAGCCTCGGGGAGCTCGACGATGAAGTCCACCGTGACGGTGTGCCAGCGTTCGGGGGGGACTTCGGTCGGGTGTAGCTCTCCGTGCGGGAGCCTTCGGAGGGCCTTCGTGCGGCAGCACAAGTCGCAGGTCGCGACGTAGCGTCTGATATGGCGGGACATCTGTGGCCACCAGTAGTTGCGCGAAACCAGCTCTAGGGTTTTGAACCGACCGGCGTGTCCGGCGACTCGCGTGTCGTGGCAGAGCTCAATGATGCGCCTCCTTAGGTCCTTGTCTTTGGGGACTACAACCTTGCCGCGGAAGTACAAGAGATCGCCCGAGACGGCCCACTCGTCCGAACGCGATGAGCGGGGGCCCCGAACTTGACCTCGGACCTTCAAGAGTTGCCGGGCCGCAAGCGTGACGGCTCCTCTAGGTCAGGCTCACCGGATAGCGCTTCCTTGATGTCGCGGACAAGTTCGGACCCCGGCCCAGAGACAGTGACGGCCTCGAGCGCGCGAACGTGGAACAGTTCGGGGCGTAAGAGGGTGACGTCCGAGTTGTCTTCGGAGATGCCGTGGTCAGGCCGGCGGGAGAGAGCATCGGGGCGGCCCATCTGGCGACCTGGGACGTGGTGCAGCGTGAAGTCAAACCTAGAAAGGTACAACGACCATCGGGCTTGCCGACGATTAAGGTGCTGTGCCTTTTGGAAATACTCCAAATTCTTATGGTCAGTCCAGATCTCGACCGGATGCGCGGCGCCCTCGAGGAAATGCTGATACTCCTCAAGTGCGCGGATGATCGCGAGCATCTCCTTGTCGTGAATCTCGTAGTTGCGCTGGACATCATTTAAGCTTTTGGAATAGAACGCTACAGGGTGCCACTTCCCGTCCGGGGCGGATTGTTGTGAAAGAACCGCCCCCGTCGCATAATCTGAGCTGTCTGCTTCAAGTCGGAAAGGCCGAGAGTCATCCGGGATCGCTAAGACGGGCTCTGAGACGACCGCCTCTTTGATAGCTTGAAAGGCGGCGGCTTCGGCGTCTCCCCAGGTCCATTTCTGGTCTTTCTTGGTGAGCGCAAAGAGAGGCTGCGCAAGGGCCGAGAAATCCCGAATGAACCTGCGGTAGAAATTAGCAA